TCAAATATTGAAATCAAACAGAATCGCAGAAAATCATTTAAGGTTCAAAACACTATTAAAAATGATAGTAGTGTATATCTTATCTATTAAATTTAATATAAACTTGTGAATCGAATACAAAATCAAAAAGAATTCTTAGAATTCTTAATTAATATAATAATAGTACAAGTATATATTCAATAAAAACCTTGTATTTAATGTTTATTTGCAATAAAAAAAAATAAATTCAATATTAACTTAATATTAAAATAATATTGTTAGAAACTTTAGTTTTAATTTTAATCTTAATGAAAATTTTTAAATAAAAATAAAAAAAATTAAGACAAATCAAGCAATTTTAGTCAACTTAATTTTATTATTTTTTTTTTAAGGGCTAAGTTGCAATACATGCGTGGATTTTATTGTTAAATCAATTAAGATCACAATTACCATATATGAACAGTCTATTAACTATTGCTAATATTAACTTATGCTACTCGTCCTTTTTTTATCAGAATATCAACTTATACCAAGTAGGTGGGTTTATACTCTGGTTTATGCTTATGATTCCCTACTAGTAAATATAAGGTAAGGAAAATCCTGTACCAACAGTGAAAAACCTTCCTAGTAGTCTCCTTTTTGGCTTGTGACCTGACTCTTCCCAAACATTGGGTCACCAATTTGGATTGCGCCAATATCAAATAGGGAGGTGGAGATCCAATCAAATTTTGGAGTCTGCCGATCCAGTTTGGAGTACTAGCTGATTGAGTACGACCTATATCAGGAAGCTAGCCAACCTGAATAAGAAGGATAGTGATACAGAGTCTACCGTTCCAGTTGGGGTTATGGGCTTTATACCAGAGTTAGAGCAGAAGCCTTGCCTCATGCAACCTTTCCTGCTTCAACTTGTTTTCAGCTCACGATTGTCAGAAAGACCAGAGATCCCATCTTCATGCAGTCTAGCTTGATATAATGGATAATTTTTGGCTGATTGGATATGACATGTATTGGAAGCCGGTCAACCAATCATGAAGGTAATAAATTTTTGTAACCAGGTGGGTTTGAACCCTAGACCTTCTTCTGATGACCTATAGAGCATTATCACTATGTTATAGACCCATAGGTCTATTTTAGTCAACTTAATATATTTACTAATAGAATATTCCATAAGTTAGTATTATTTTTAAAGTTTATTTTTTAAAGATTGTAATAAATAATTATATTAAATTTGAAGTATACTTTATTTATAAAAGTAATTTAATATAATATTGTTTATAATTAAGTATTTTTTCTTTAAAAATAATATAAAAATTTTTTTATAAAAAAAAATAATAATAATATATCAAAAGTTAAATAATATATCAACTTGTAAGTCAATAATATAATAGATAGTACCTTTAGGTCTCCAAATATATGTTACTAGTTCAATATCCTTAAAATATAAAAAACACATATATCTTTATATATAAGTTTACTGGATATTCTATATATGTCATATTTAATAATTCTTAATCATATTCAAATTCAATTAGACTATATTAAAATAGGATCTCTGATCTTTTAATAATCACAAACTAAAAACAGATTAAAACATAAAAGGTTATACAAAAAAAACTTTTGGTCTAACTTTGTCAATAAGTTTATAAAAACTTTAATCCAAACTGATAACAATAGATTTTATTATATAATTCAAAAAGGTTAATTTTAAACTAATCTATTTTAATCTGTAGCTTGAGAATTTGTCTCAAAAGTGATGTTCTCCTAAACTTAAATAGACTGAAAAGACAAAAGGTTATTTGTTATAAGTGATAATAATCTAGGCAAAAATCATTAAAACCAAGTAAGTCTAGTAAGAATTTTTAAAATTAAATTGCAATCCAAGCAAAAATACTAATTTTACAGATAGTAAAAATAGTAGTATGATATTATGCTAGTGATATATCCTGAGGATTAATAATAATAGGTAATTGGAATAATTTGAATTAATCTTTATAATAATACTCTATATAATTTTTTTCTGATAAATAGCTGAAAAATATAATTGAACCAATAGAAAGAATAGGTTTAAACTAATAATAAAACTTTCTTTCTCTTGTATAAGTTCTATTTGGATGCAAACCTATTTATGTAATGTAAGTTAGTTAACTAAAATAGTTTAATTAGTTTAAGAAAAACTAGTGATATTGAAAACAATATTTACTGATAGCATTAATTTACATCTAAAATAGTAATAATCTAGCTTGTAAAGATGTTTAATATAATAGTAGTAATAATATTATCAATAAAAGCTTTACATTTAATGCCTTAATCAATTAAAAAAAAAGTTAAAGAATATATACTGTATATATTTGTTAGAATATACTTTTTATATATTGTTAACATTAAAACGATAAGTCTGTTGCTTGTAGCAGGTCAAACTTACATAATGTTAGGGTAGATTATTCTTCTTTTCTTTACTTGAGATATGGATTTGACTTGACTGACCTTAAACTATTACTTTCTCTTTCTCTTCTTTCTCTTGTCATCCTCCTTCAATAGTTTGAGTTACAAACCTTGTTAGTGACTTCTAGAATGATCCTCTTATGGTGACGTTATTTCAGAAAGTGAGTTAATTAGTAACTTCTTTTTTAGGCATGTCTATCACATCACCACTTATAGTAACTTTTAATTATCACTTGTTTCATGCTTTTACAAGATAATAATTAAATTTTATTAAAGTTATGTTTTCTTATGTTAAGTTCTCTCCTCTCTGTATTGTTATTTCTTTTCCTCTCTTATTTATATCACTATAACTATCTACTATTGAACTATAACTCTATGATTCATAAACTACTAAACTATAAAATAAATTACAGAGGCCTACTATAAATTTAGGGTCACTTTTTTTTTTAAAATAATATAAAATTTAATAAATTAATAATTTTTAAAAATTTAAATATAATTTTTGTTTATTATAAGATATGTCATATTTAAATTTCATATAATTTAACTCATTCATTTAAAATTTATTATAATATCAAGCTGATCTAATATTTTTTATAAAATCAAAGATATTTAAGTCTTTTTTTTTAAAAAAAAACATTTAATATTTTGTAGACCCCCTTTCAACCATAATACAAGCAGTAATACGATTCGGCATGCTAATAATTAAGTGCTGGCATAACTTGGGTGGTATTTTGTGCCATGCTTGCTGAATAAGATTATTGAGTTTATCGAGATTATTGAGTTTATCGAGATTATTGAGTTTATCGAGATTATTCAGTTTTTCCATGCAACGGACGGAATTTTTGATCTCATGTCAAAGATTTTCTACAGGGCTTATATCTGGGCTCTGAGGAGGCCAATCCATCACCCTAATATTATTGTCTTTGAAAATTGCTTAGTAATCTTGGCAGGATGTGGTTTTGTATTGTCCTGTTGAAATAATGAATGACCATGATCTGTATTTTCCAGAAATTCATTTATAGTAGATAAAGTATACTTACAAAGAATTTTGACATATGAAGCACCAGTAACAGAAAAGCTTAATAGGATAAGAGGTCCAGATCCATACTACAAAAAACAATTCCAATATGTACAACTAGAACTATTACTAATGGTGCTTCTTGGATATTCAAGATCCTATTTCTCATACGATTTATGCCATACTTAACAAGTTGACCTTTAGAAAAGACAAAGAGTATACTCATTGAACTACAAAACATATCAAAAGTATTGAACAGTCTAGTGCTCATAAGTATGACATCAGGCAAATCTTTTTTCTATATTTTTTGAGGTAATTAATGGCTTGGGGCATGCAATACAAGACTTTAAGTCTTCTTTGTATAATATATGACGAATAGTACTTTTTGAAACATGAATTTTTTTTTTAATAGTAAAAAGATTGATGACTTGAGTGAGGTTTAGATGACGATTTCCATTAGTTACAAGTTCCTTGAGGTTAAATCGATTGGTAGAGGTAAGTAATTTCAGATGCCTAGAACATTTTATCTACAAATCCACAGATCCCGTTTCATGAAACTTTTTAATAACATTACCTATAGTGGTTTTTCCACAATTTATAAGATTGACAATATGACAATATGAATCCTTTTTAAGGTAACCATAAATAATAGCACCTCTTTGGTCGGCTATTAACTTCTTATTCATACCCATTGTCGATTGGTTTAGAATGAAAAAGTGTGACTCACCGATCAGTTTGAGACAAAAAGTATGACCCACGGTTTTCATCAATTCTAAAAATTTGTGTTATTTATATAGCTATTTTAAATATCATGTAATGTTTATACAGGTCACATGTTATTTTGACAAAAATTTAGTCATGTTTTTAAAAAAATAAAAAACTTTTATATATTGTATATTTTGTCCCTAAATTTATGGTAGGCCTCTGTATCTAAACTTTCTATTACATTATAAGTTTATTTCTAAAACATTTCCATTACTCCAATTAGGCGTGTTACACAAATGTCACATCGCCAGGCCTTACCAAAGAAATTTCCCCACTAACAATGTTTAAAATTTTATACAGTATAAATTGCTTTTATTTTAAAATAATTATTTGTATTTTGAATTACATAAATAAAATCCCAAAAAATTTTGTAACACACTATATAAAATTTTTGACAAAAATTAAAATACATATAATCAATAAATTCATCTTAAGTAAAATTATTCCATGAACCTGATTCCATTATATTTAAATTTAAATTTTATTTTTGTTAAGTTATAAATAAAAAATATAACTGTCTTTTTTTTGCAACATATCGTATACGGTATACAGTATATAATAAAATTAATTAAAAACCGACATATCTTTATTTCTGGATAGATATAGAATAACATATTAGTAATTAAAAATTCTTTAATTAACATAGATAAGATATAACTTTAAAAATTCTCTTTCGATATTAAATTTTCTTTATATTAATAAAGCCATTCATCCATTAAACCATTAATAGCATAACTATCACGTGATTTGGGTTCGTAAAATTTTTGGTATTAAATTCTTAACATTCCAGTTGTCAATAGATACCTAAAAAAATGAACAAGAGCATTAATGTAATGATACACTGTGGCAATACGAATTATTTGACAAATGCCCACAATTGTAATAAGTATAATGTAGGTATAATGATATTAATAAAACTCCAACTTACCGGGTATGATTCTCCATTTCACCATTCTACAATATGTGATCCAATCTTTTCCATATTTTTTGCTGCATTTTTCTTCGTCTCTCAACTCACGATGAACCAGCAATACAGTAAAATATATTATATAGAAATATGGGAATAAATTGTCAAAACCTAACGTAATGCATGAAATTTTTAATGTAATAAAATAAGTAAAAAGAAAAAAAAACTTTACACAAGATCGAGTGGACTTACCGCAAGGTAGACACCAAGCCCATGCCATAAGCCAGTCTCCTGATCATAAGTAAAAGAAAAAATGTTAGCGAGAATAATGCCACTTGTAGTCGAGTAATTGCATATTATTCAAAGAAATCATCTAAAATATAACAAACCCAAATAATTTATATGCCTAGCTTTACCCCACCATCCGGAGACAATCAGACGAGGGCCTGCTTTTGTTTTTATGTATTTTAAATCTAAAATTCATTTCCGAACTCGTTTTTAATAATGTTTCACCCAAAATAGAATGCAGAAAGATCTAAAAATATGTATAACTTACGCTTAACTCTCGAGTCATCCGGATTGTTTCTAAAAATATTTTTTTCATTATTTGAACTTCTAAATATGTAATATCCAGTGGCATTAAGACCAGCGATAAATAAAATTTGTAACCAAGAAAGGTGAACCGGGTGTAATGAGAGATATCTGGCCTGCAATGCATATAAAAACCCAACCCATGTGAAATTCCCAAAAGACAGCATGAAGCCAAATCCATCAGATGTTATGTCCATTGTCGTCAAGACAGCTGGCTAATAATCAAAAAGAAGTGCGGATGTGATGTATTAACGAAGTAAGAAACATATATCACGTTACTTAAATTCACGGGATTTACCTCATTGTATATCGAATCAATAGCGTACCATCCTTGAAAAACCAAAACCATGTACATCGCCGCTGTAACGTAACCGAGCTCTTTATACTGTTTAACAGTCATGGCTATGTTAATAATCGTCCAACTTGTTATGCCAGGTCGGAGCTCTACAAAATACTTGATGTCGAAAGATCCGATTCGCGGATTCAATTCTCTGCCGATCATAAACTTTGGAATGTAAATTAAATAAATTAATATAATGTATGTATTACTTTAACGAACCAACAATTACCGAAACTATTACCCACATCATAGATAAAGATACCAGAGTTTCCTCCAAGGGACAACAGTTTACCTTTCCGAAAGGACTCGTAATAAACGTAAAATGAGGCAGCTAGTGACACAATTATTGAAGCGGTAACCAATCCAATAAAATGATCACTTATAAACAGGAGTGGGTCCGACCCATATGACAATGATAAGACTTCGAGTATGGCCAAGGTTAACAGCATGCAACTGAACCCATTTTCTTTATACTTCAGCCTTGTACCATTGCGAAGTTGAGTTCCATCGATCCATCGACCTGGCACTAAATGAAACGCCAGGACTAGGTATGCTAAATAAGAAAGGTACGCGACGAATGCTTTAAGATCAAAAATGGATAAAATATTAGAAACGGTAAGTAAAGGAACGACATTTGTAGGATTTGTGAGGAGAGATAAGAGTGTTGGAGAGGGGCAGCCATCTGGTTGACATCCTAAAAATAAGATATATACAAGAATCGGAAGAACCGTAACCATAAGTAGTGCGCCGATTGGGCCTAAAAATTCAAATTCAGTAGTTTTTGGATTTAGAACAGGTTTTTCGTCATTTGAGGGTGCCATATCGAATATGCAAGAAAAATGGTAGGGGTCAGGTAGTTTTTATTTGGATAATCTTCGAGAAAGATCAGAAAATTCCAATCCGCAGATTAGCTTTAAATTTATATCTCTAAATAAAATTGCACTGATATTAATTTGGAAGAAATGCTCGTTCATCATTATGGGCTTGCAGGAATTCACAAGAGCCTGAACGAGAAAAGGATTAATTTGTTATTAACAAGAAACTTGGACTAGTACGATAATCTGGACGATCGTGTAACATTAAAAGGTGCGTTGAGCAAAGAGGATGAAGATTAAATTAGATTCAACTCTTTGGGAATCACAATTTCTTTTCACACGTTGACCCAGAAGTATCGTTAGAAAAAAGGAGTTGTGAAGGGTAAAAAGGCACGTGATTATTAAGGAATCATAGAAATTCCGAGAAAGGAGGTAAAAACGTAGATAGTTTTTTGCATCAACAGACTTTTGAGTATTTTTGTTAAACCTGGACCAAATTATATAATCTCAAGACTTACCTTGGGTACATCTAAAAACGTACCACACCAGTACAGAGTTCTCTAAATCTTGAGTTCAATTGAGGGAGATTTAAAATCAGGAAAATTTGTGATTCTATTAACGTATTTGGTTTAAGCAATTATAAATCACCAACCAAAAAGCATTAGTGAGAAATCAAATATATATACAGTATATGGTTTTTAAAAAATCATATATGTTAAATATTTTGATATGTATAAAATAAAATACTATGTATATACAATATATAACATGATTTTTTACATAATATATTAATCATCATTTTTCAAAAGTTGTTTAATATTTATAAAAAAAAACAGCAATGTTAATAACAATTTTGAATTTTGTTGATAATATCAAAAGATCAAAAAGCAAAATCAAAAAATATCAATTATATGGGATTTAATTTATTAAAAATCAAATGAACTGTCAAAATAAAATTGGTAATCAAAATCAATTATTATTATATTTTTTTTATTTTTAAAAAAATTGAATTTTAATTATATTAAATAAATTTTATAATATCTAAATTTTTTATTTCTAATATGGATAATATATTGCTAATCAAAAAATAATAATATAAAAGAAAACATATTTAAAACCAAAAAAATATGAATGTTTATTGTATAACATACTTTGCAAATACAGTAATTATAAGAATAAAAATTTTTTTCTTTGATTTTAATTTTTATCAATATTGCAATGTGCATTTCAATCTATGATATCATCATGAACTTTATTTTAAATAATAGTTTTTATTTATTTAATTTATTACAGCAATAAAAAATCAAGACAAATAAATCTATTTTAAATACTGTATATACAGTATTTTTATAATTTATTTTTATAAAATAAATGCGTGTATAAATCATCAAGAAAAATTCATTATTATTTTTTAATTCAATGATTTTTATTATTATCAATCTTGTCTAAAAATAGGTTTTTAAAATAATAACCAAAAATTTGAATAGATAAAACTTTAGAATTCTAGAATTCTTTTATTTATTACATTATTACCTCTAATAAGAAAGGCAAGGCGCGTGATCAAAATTTTAGTCATGTGAGAACCTTTAAAGCAAAATTTTTGAGTTCGCACAGTATTCATAAAGGATCTTATTATGCCCCGCATTGTTCAGGCAGACTTGTGCCTGCGCAAAGTAATTATGAATGGATGGCGAAAAATAGTTGGACGATTGACGGAAGAACATATTAAAAGAACACTTATTAATCACCGGACGTGTATTAATTACAGTGAACGCGTTTGCACCCCTAGCCATCAAAATGTCGGTTATTTTTTTTTTAAAAAAAAAGAAAAAAAAAAAGAGGACATGCATGACTTGTTCGATACGTTCGATTTAATTATTAAAAAAAAATTCTTTTTTTAAAAAAAAAAGTAAAAAAAAAAAAACCAAAAAAAAAAAAAAATAAAAACTATCTACAATTTTTCGCAAGTCTCACCGATGCTTGAAATTTTGTAACAGAGAATGCAAAAAAGGCAGCATTTAAGCGCCCTCGGTTATATGTCAATAATGTCAACAAATCAACTAGATCCTAAAATTTTTTATTCAGATGAATTTTTTGGTGGCGACGGAGATTGCTCACAACCGAGAAACAACGGCCACAACCATCTTCTTCACATTTAAATGGTTTTTCGCCAGTATGAGTGTAGATGTGGGTTTGTAAAGTACTTGGCCTACTAAATCGCATTTGGCAGTAGTTACAAGCATGCTTCTTTGGACTATCCACAGACGTACTTGCCCTAAAACTAGCCATCAACGATTTGGGTGAAGGAAGGTATGATAAAGATAATGGAGCCTTCCTTGAATGAGATGAGTTAAGAGCTCTCGGAGTATAACTTTTGTATGGAGATGGTGAGTAAGATGAATACTGATATTTTTCGACTATTTGTTGAAAAAGAAATAATTAATGAAATTGCTGGCTTTAGTCGATGTTCGGGATGCTCCTCGGGATTTGAGATGACGATGTTTATTACCTTGTTTTAGTGTTGATGAATTTGGTGATATACCATCGTTATTAACATAGGATGTACGTAAGGGAGACCTCCACATATTGGAGCTGGAGTTCATAGGAGATTGTGATGACTCCGAATAATAATCGTCATCGTCATTTACAGAGGATTCACGATTTTTCGGGAAACGACCAGAATTTGGTTGGATCGAAATGTGCCTTTCTGCGCGTCGAAACATTTCGTCTTTATCACTAGGTGTGCTTTTCTTAAAGAAATCTATTTGAAACGTTGCACTTGGATTTACCATCGAAGGATCGGTGAAGAATGTAGGGTCTATATTACTCTCATCAAACCCAGTTTGTTGTTTTACGCTTTCCTCGGAATCTTCTCTCCAAAAATCAGTCGAACTATTTGTATCATGAGTCTTGTTATAATACGCGTCGTTAGGATAAGGGGGAACACTGTGTTCCCAGTCGGACCCATATCCGTAGGCTTCGTGTCTCTGGTAACTTTCTCCGGTAGCAAAGGGGTATGGGTGATATGAACTCTCGGACATTATGCCAGTCAGTTTCCCGAGGGGTGACCAACACAGATTGAAGGAAGGACGTTTCCAATAAATTGAGACTGAACAGATTGCGACGTGATAGTAGTTCCGTTTAAGACTCGTATATTGAATGGGACGTCAACTCTATACTTTTCCATACACCTTTTATTTTTATCTCGGAACTAAACTTCTCACGGCAATACTATTTAGTATTCACTCCGGAACTTTTATTTAAATAATGTTTGGAAAAAAATTTTATTAACGTTTTCACTTGGGAAAGTATGATAGGCCGATAATATACAGTAAGTACATTAGTACATATGCACTTGTATTTGGAATGAATCACGAGAACTTTCATTACACAATCTGCAGATCATTATACGATATGGTATAAAAGCCCGTTAATCACAATCTCGCGTCAGTTACACTTGCATTGATAAATAATACAGTAAATTACTTTACTCAGCTATCACCACTCAATCATGAATTCTCGATCAAATAAAATTGATTCAAGAAAGTTATTTCATAACTATTTGGACCCAGTGATTTTCCTCTATTCATTCTTTGGGTTTGTTCTTGGCGTTTTCCTCGCCTATGTCGCTAAAGATTATTACTCTGAAGAAAGCAGATATGTGATTGAATTAGCGAGAGAGTATATGTCTTCATTAGCAAATTCGACAGGCTGGGAGACATGGAAATGCTAGGGACTCGAGATGATGAGAGATGATGAGTGGGGTAAGTAATTCGAAAATTTCATTTCTCTGATGTCGATGCTTGCGAATCGAAGAACTGTCATAGTAAAGAGGTCAACATTCTTCTTTTATAAAGTCTTCATTTCGACGTGATCCTTTGCAGATATCCGAAGAATCTTTTTAAAAGCAAGTTGTAAGTTTCACTAAATTACAGTATTTACAAAGAAATTTGGATTTCACTCCAATTCATCGAACCTTTTTTACATCTCAACAACTAGACACTGTCTTTAGGAGCTCATTTCGGACAACGGAAAAAAATGTGATGATAGATAAGGAAAACAAAAAATGTTTGACCTATAAAATTCCCTTTCTGTACATATTTCGTAAAATTTTTCTCGCCGTCAAAGTTGTATCTTTCTAAAATAATATTACATAAAATTTTTTAGGATTGGATTAAAGTCATTTGCATAACAATAGTTTTTGGCGAATGGTTTTTTCTTCTTTCCTTCCTTAATCTTATTTATTTATTTATTATTTTTTTTTTTAAAAAAAAAAAAAGAATCCATCTCTAGGATGCTCGCTGACGAGATTAAGTCCTTGGGTTGATTCCGCCAAAAGAATCGATTTACGGAGGCGGGATTTTATCCATAATACAATGTACTTGGTATAAAAACATAATTAGAAATGGCAACGACATTTGACTAACCTCAACGATACTTATATTTACAACGATACACATCGATTCTCATCAAAGCCTTATTATTTATTATATACTCGATACGCATCCTCTTTACATCACGAGGGCACCGCTTATGTAATTAAGTGATTGTTTGCTTTAACAAATTGTTAAAAGGTGGCTGACACGTTGAGCATGTGAAAACAAAGCATGCAAAGTGGATCACTATTTTCAATGAATCGAAATCTTTATTGAACAGATTGCATCTTTGGAAACGCAGAGTTTTTTTTTCAAGATTTCTTTTAAAATAAATGATAGACTGGTCTACGTTACAAGGAAAAGAGAGCGCGATAGGTCGATAAATTATAATTGATTTTTTTTTTTTTTTTCGATAAGGGAAAATTATATACAAGAATACGGTAGACTAGTTATAAAGCATCCATCCAAATTGTCAATAATATCAAAATCATCATCACTTCCAACCGATGATGATTTAACCTCACCCACGGCTTCACTGTCTGGTGTTTGATTTTCCATGGGTAATGGATTCGATTTTCCGGATTTAGCCTTAGCTGCACCTTGTATCATTATGTTACTGCGCCAATAAACTTGGTTCTTGTCATTATGAAATTCCTTTTCTACTGCTTCTTCACGTATCATGTTATTCGTGCTATTTGATGATTGTGTGGCCTTGCATTCATCTCTTATTAACATAACATCATCGCTCTCATCGTCGTCAGCCGACGCCCCATCTTCAACCGACGTATCCTGCTCATCTTCATGTTCATCCTCGCTGGACAATTCAGAACTATCCAACTCTACGGATTCGCTCTCACTCAACGAAACCACACCCGTTGAACTTTCTCCATCCACGCCAATTACGCAAAAGTCGTCGCTTGTTAGTGAAACTGATCCGTCTAGAGATACTACATCGACTTTAAATCAAGAAAGAAAAAATACTGTGAGATACTTTATGACTGATCCAATTTAAAAATGGCAAAATATTGATATCGTACATTCTTTCTCTTTGTCAATGTTCTTAACTGAGAACGCTGTCGTTATCTCGCAACTCTTTCCTTTCTCGTAAGTTGACACACCTATTTAAAGAATGACATGTTAAGGAGGTGTTTCACTCGTTTTGGAATCGAAATCCTTACGTTATACTTACTGGCGTAAACATCGTTCCAACCATTATTCATATTCACATCATAATCATCCCTATAATTCCTAGGTTTCGGTAGTCTTTCAAAGTAGAAAAACTTCGATGACAATTTCTTATCAGACACATTGAGAATGTTAAGTCTCGCGTCATTCAAACCACCTGCACCGGTTTCATAAGACTCCTCGACATCAGATGAATTTTCGTTTTTCTCATGACCAATTTGTCGGTATCCGCCATTAAAGAAATTTAAAAGATTTCTTTTCTTCATTAGATAATCATTCAAATTCTTTGCTTCATTAAAATTGACGTTTCGCGGCCATCGCCATAACGACAATGTCTTTAATATTTCTTCAACGCTAGGTCGTTGGTTAGGTACAGCGTTCCAACAACTCTCCATCAACTTCGTGTATCGATCCGAGACTCCTTCCAACTTGGGTCTTAGCCCTTTGCATATTTCTCGGGCTAATTCTTCATTATAGGGATGTTCGGCGTAGGGAATTTTGCCGATGACAATCTCCCACACTACTATGCCCAGGCTGTAAACATCCGAGGCTTGAGTGCGTGGTTGACCGCATAAAACCTCGGGAGCAATGTACGGTAACAATCCGTATACTGTCTTTCCGCCATCCATCGTTCCACAAACCGAATTACTTTCATTGTCATATTCCGTAGGATAATAATTTCCTATGTCTGTAATCCATACATCGAGTTTGTCCGAGTGTATATTCTTTGCTCGGAATTCATTGATGTTTGGCTTATTAATCAAGATGTTGCCGGTGTGAAAATTACCATGCGTCAAACCTTGCTGATGTATATACTCTAAGCCGGAGATTATGTCTGTAACGATGTTCCTTCTTTGTAACCAATCGATTGAAGTAAAGTTATGGGCGAGGTACTTCCTCAAACTGCCTCCGTTCGCGTATTCAAAGACTAGGATGTATTCCGATGTCTTGGGGTCGCGAGTGACGCCGTAGCAGTGGATGATCTTGCTGTTATTTTCGGTAATTTTTAGCTGTTCGCGTATATCAATACATTAATAGTGATAGATTTGAAGTAAGAAAAAAAATTTTTTTTTTTTTTTCTGCAAACAACTATAAGTCATAGCTACCCTATCGAAAATTTCCTCGGATAAATGGGAAGAATCTGACAGACGCTTTAACACTACCAGCTTTGATTTGAATTTTTTATACATTGTCTGGGGAGGAATATATGCGAGCTGAAAGCTTTCTGTTGTCGTTCCGGTGACTACGTCTGTTCCAACTTTGGAGATCTGGTTCATTTCCACGTCTGTTCCGACTTCGGAGACCTGGTCCGTTTCCACGTCTGTTCCAACTTCGGGGACCTGATCCATTTCCACGTCTGTTCCGACTTCGGAGACCTGATCCATTTCCACGTTTCCTTTCTGTGAAACGGTAAACATCACACCTTTAAGAAATGGGTGTTAGAGAGAAATTGTATCATTATTCGTACTACCTTATTCCTGGATTCCAATTCAACAAAAAGCGCCATTGCCGCCTCTTCTCCTTCCTTCATACACTCATTCTCATTGATCCTACTTTCATACTCTGAAAAAAACTTCTCCCAAATTTCGTCCCACTCATTTTGGCTCAACTCTTCTTCATCACGGTTTAAATACGCCAATATAGTCATAAATTCCATATTCTCCACCCATTGTTGTAACGTTCCATCCAACGGATCCTTGTTCATTTTCGCCGTGTAGATAATTGATGATCCACCTTCACTTATTTTTGTCACATCCATGAAACAATCGTAGGGGATCCACCGGAGAAACGCATGTTCGTCACTAGCGTTGATTTGTGAATCCAAAATTAGGCTGTTAATCTTTTCACTTCCACTTGTCCACGAATCGGAGTTCTCGAAGAATAAATAATCTTCGCATGGTTTACACCATTTTCCGGTAGTGTAAGGCTGACCGCATTGAAAACACACGGCGGAGAGAGTTCGAGGTAATTGGCCGCTTCCAGAGTATTCCGCGAGGACTCCATTAAAGAACCAAATAAGAAAATTTCTGACCGAGTTAGTGGTGCCAAGACATTCTATAAGGCATTTATAGAGTCTCTCTCGGGAATCCACTGGATGAAGACGTAAGTGTTGTGTAATTTGCTTAGAAATTGGGAACTTTACTCGTAACAATAAACTCTGTAGACTATTGCTTACATCTTGATTCTGCCTTCAACTCCTCCAAGATTGCCAAGGCTGAAAAAAAACCATTGAAATTTTAAATTACATTTATCAAAACAACATTTCATTCAATCTTGTAAAATCAAATTTTATTTCACGATAAGAAAGAAGAAACCGTTTTTTACATTGGGCAATCGTAAGCTGATTCCAAAGATCGTTGTTTACACCGTCAATATTATCCATATTCTTTAATTTC